TAGTCTTCTTCTTCTTGGGGGGCGCGTCACTTCCAGAACCGCTGTCTTCGATATCTTCGCTCTCTTCGCCCCCTGACGCGGACGTAGACGCGGAGGCAGCCACCACAGGTTTTTTTGTCTTCTTTTTCCTCTTCGGTGTAGTTTCAGCTGCATCGCTGCCAGAGGTACTGGCTGAAGACGATGTGGAGGTCACTGCGGCAGCGGGCTTCTTCGTCTTCTTTGTCTTAGGGGTAGTGGCAGAGCTACCGGCGCCCGCCGTGCTTCCATCGGCTTCCGAGGCAGTCTCGGTGTCTTTTGTGAACTCTCCTAGCATACTACCGTACTTTGACATCAGACTACTGGTGGACGGCCGTGCAGCCGTGCCGGGGATCGGCGTCGTAGTTGCAAATTCTCCCGAAGTTTCTTCAGCAGCCGGGGTCGCGCCTGAGGGTGGCGAAGCCGGAGCCGGGGTTTCATCGTCATTGCCGAACCAGTCGAAGAAGCCACGCTCTTCCTGCTTCTTAATATTCTCGTCTTGTGAGTCCGGGATATTCGCCGGAGCAACGGTGCCCAGCTGGTCCTTTGATGTGAGCTCAGTGTTCTGAAAGTTTTCATTTACCTCGACGCCATTCACGGAGGCGCCACACTGGAGCACCTGTAGCAGCAGTGCTGCTTGGAAGATCAGCTTTACCGCTCGAAGCACCATGTTTGTACCTCTCAGTCTCGGGTTCTGCAGTAAGACACTGGGAAAGTAACAAACTGGCTTGTGTCCAAGGCGGAAAAACGCAGAATGTGAAGGCAAATCTCATGCTGTCCAGCAAGCTGTATTCCCATGATAATGGTCCGGATAATCTCACCCCGGAGGGCCATGCTTACTGTAAAGTAGAGAATTAACAATGCAACGGGTGCGTCGCATTTACGACCAACCGACAGCAGGATTGGAATTGGGATTGGGCGGCTGTCTGGGCGACGTTAGTACAAGCAGCTGGTACACTAGAACTCGTCGTAGACCTATCCCGTACCGTCATCATCTTTTTTTGCGAACAATCGAGCTGGTCCACATTGATGCGGTATTGGTCGAGTGTTTTATTGATTCGAAGAGATAAGTGAAAGTAGCTGTAGCTGCACCTAACACTTGAGAGTTGAAATTTACATCTTGGAAATGTGCAGGTCGCGCATCGTCTGGGCCATCATCTTGGCTTTGCAAATTACCGGTATGATCATCTTGCTTTGCAGATTATGACCATTTTACGTTGGAAACCGAAAACATGATCCCTGTGATATCTAATATCCTGATATATATAGTACTTTGATATTCCATTGTGAAACACGTTGTATTTCCAGTGCTAAGAAAACCTTATAACAGGGACATGTGGGAGTAACCATAAGGCGTTTATTGGATAAATCTCCCAGAATAAGTACGAGTAATTATGGGATCGTATCTATATTGATCGGGGTCCAACAGTTACTCAGACTCAAAATCAACACATAGCCAGGTACGTGTTCATTTTGGGCGTGCTTCACAAGCCAACTCGCGCCTCGTTGGCGGGCGTTTACCGCGAACACATGTACAATGTGAAAGCCGGGTTAAATAAACTCTGGCGGCCTTGCTTTGCTAGCGGGTTTATTGAATTTTAGTGTAACGAATGGAAAATTGCAAAAAGTAATTCTGAACTAGACTTTTCATGATCTACAATGCTGCTGGAGGGTGAATGCTATGCCGAGCGGGAACAAAATTCTCGTTTTGCATAAAAGAGATTACAATATTTCGCATTGTTTTTCTTGGCAGTGAAAACTTTGGCTATTTAAAGCAATTTTATGTGATGAGTTTTCGGCTATTGCTAGATATCAGCTTTTCGATAATTACAAGAAAAAGTGATCATTATCATTGAAAATATTAGGCAACATCAGAAAAAAGAAATGTTGTCGCTGATGAAAGCCAAAGGTCTCACCAAGAACACGTGAACAGATCACGGACGTCTTTAAGCGGGAATGAGGTGAAATCGATAACTTATAGCTGAGCTCATGAATTGTTTTCTCCCTCAAGAACCTCCGTGAAGTAATACAAAACTTGGTATTTAAGCCGTAACTAAAATAGAATTTTGCTTTTCGATTTAAATTATATCTGTCTGCAATCGGCGAGGCTTTGATCCCTGATTTTCAAAATTCTCTTGGTAAGGAGTCAGAGCCTAGTGTGTGTCCTGGGAGTTGTTATTGAAAACCAAAAACACACGTAAAGAATACTGTAGAAGCCATGAACCATCATAATGTTAGAGGATAGACAAAACACTGTCATATAATTGAATAATGGCAAAACGTTCACATTTTTTATGAGCTACAATGAAAATAAACGTGTAGTATGGGAGCCATCATCATTACCAGCTCATACAACATTCTAATGGCACTACCTATAGCCTTGTTTTAAGTGTACAATCGCTTCTATTACGTAGTATTTCGGAGCAATACTTGTAGTTGTACATACTTGTAAGCAGGATACGCCATTATGAGGAATGTGAGTAATACTTGCGCAAACACCAAGTGTTACGCAGTAGAAGCAATTGCACACTTATAGCATGGGCTATAGTGATGTCTCTAGAATGCTAGAGCGCTCGGGATATCTCTTCGCTTTACGCAAATTCTCTACGTTACCCAAGACGGTGGAGCATACCCCCACAGCTACACTACAATATACGAGAGCTGATGCCTTACACATATCCTCTAATACATGGGGATGTCGCACCTTACATTCTATCTAAACATTACTACTTACCTAGATAGAATGTGTTGTATAAAAGTTAGCTCCTATGAGTTATATTAACGTGCAGGGGTGGTAAGTCGCCATCTATCCGATTTTTTATGTATTATGCTATGGTTCCAAAAGTGTCGAATTGTCTGATGAAAATGGATTTGCGCGAATATGTCTGAGAGAGCTGCCAACGCATCGGACAAAATGCTTCAGATCACAACTGATGCTCTTGATCAGGCCTTTGGCACCTGTACTAGCTAATTTATTATCGGGAATTCCCGAATAATAGTCTTTACCTGAATAAAATACTCTTCGAGTACACAACCTCACAGCAACCATAGAGTAACCTCACAAAAATTTAAATAACTTTGTGCAGTAAAGTCATTCTTGTAGTTATAACTACAATAGATGTAGTGCTTCCTCCAGCCACCTCAATGTACCCTCTTTATCAGAAAAAAAATCAT